GGGCCGGGGTGCGGGCTTGGCCGAGGCCCCCCCGGGAAAAGGGAGATGTGTCCGGAAGTGGGGGGAGCCTCGCCCCCGGCCCCGGCCCTGCTCCCAGCGCCCGGCACCGGGGTTCGGACCCACGGCCGCCCGCACCCACGGGGGGTCCCGAGCACCGACGGGGTGGGCACGGGGGAGGGGGGGGCAGCCGGATCTCCATCCCATCCTCGCAAAGCCCCCGCAGTGCTAACGCACCCCGATTTTGCCAAACTTCGCTTTTTTCACTTCCACGGACCCGGAGGTCGGCGAGCCCGCTCTCCCCCGGTTTATACTTTTTCTTTTTCCCGTCGGGAATCCTACGTTCCCCGCTCGAATCCGGACCCTTTTCGTCCCGATTCGGTTGGGAAAAGAGAATTCCCTCCTCGCCCCCCCCCCTTTTGCCACCCCTTGCCCCAACGAGGAGCCGGCGCGTCCCGGGGAGCAGCGAGGAGCCGGCCCCGGGCACGGCGCCGAGGAGCTCCGCAAGCTCCCGACCCGCAGCGAGCCCCTTTGCCGGGGGCCGGGTGGGAAAACGGGACCGGTTCTGCCCCCCCGGGACCCCCCCGGGTCCGGGAGAAGGCCAGAAAATTAGGAACGGCCCCGGGGGGCTCAGGAACTCGGGGACCCAGCTCCCGTCCCGGCGGCTCCCCCGCCGGCGGGCCCGGCCGGTTGTAGGGGACTGGGAAATTTAGGGGGGGGATCTCGGGGGTTGTAGGGTTGTAGGGGGGGTCGGCACGGCCCCCGCCCGCTGCCGGAGCACGGAACCGGCTGGGAGAGGCTGCGGCTGGCTCAGCCCTACAGGGCCCGATTCCGCGCTGGCTCCGCGTCCCTACTGCTGCTGCGGAGAGACAGAGAGAGAAAGGAGATTAAAAAGCAGGTGAACAAAAAATCAAAAAGCCCCACCCGATTCCGAAGTGTGCCTACAATTCGAGGGAGAGCAAAACCCCGGGCAATAAATCTAGGCGGCTAGGTAATCCCAGGAAACGGCGCGTTTAAAAATGCATGACAAATGAGGGGCACAAGCCGGCGCTCGGTTTTTAAGCTAAAAATATATATATATATACACAGACACAATAAAAAGCTTGCTGTTTTTTTTTCTTTTGTTTCATTTTTTTTTTTTTCCTGTACGCAAATTAACTCACCCAAATCCCGGCTATTTGGAAATGGGGGGCGAGCCAAATGAGCACGCTGCAGATCTTGGGGAGGAGGCATTATTTACCAACCCGCCCCAGCCACGTGTGGCAAACTTCGCCGGGTTCAGGGCGGCCCGGCAGCTCTGCTGTTTGCACACACGAGTCAATAGATGAGAAATCCAAATTAACTCCGAGCCTGTTTTCCATAGACCCAGCCACCCTTTTTTTATTTCTTGGTTATATTGAATTGTAGTGTTTGCAGCCTCATTAAATCCATTCCAAGACAAAAGAATAAAAGGCTGGGGGGAGGGAGGGGGCAGGAGAGGAGGGGGATGAGGAGAGGGAATGGGGAAAAAAAAAAAAAAGAACAGATAAAGAAAACAAATAAAGCCCTTTAACTAGATCTTCACATAAATGTCACAGTTTCTCAGCATTTACGATTTGCCTGTTTAGCATAAAAACACTTAAGGACAAGATTGAAGGCTTTCCGAGAGATCTGGACAGAAGTCAAACCTATCAGTCGGAGGAAAAAAAAAAAAACAAACAAAAAAAAATAGGGGATGGGAGGGTGGGGGCGGGAGGTGGCGGAAAACAAGTGCTCCTCCAAATAATACTAAAGAAAAGTGGATTTCATTGTAATTCATAGGCTTGTTCCAAATACCAAGAGAGAAAGAGAGAAGAATAGAAGCGCACAGATGCCCCGACGAAGGGAGAACAGCTCTGCTCCCATTGTTGCGGAGTTAAACAGTGGAAGGGAGGGTTAACCTAATCCATCAAATTGTCTGGAAATTGTGAAGAAAATTCAAAAACCATATGGTCTCCAAGCGCTCGCCTTCTCTCTGCTGCGGAGGGGCACGCTTGTTTCAGCATGGCGAACCGCAGGAGGCTGTATATGCTCCATTGTCGCTTGTCACTTCAGAGAAGAGGGCTCATTTGTCCCCAGTTTTCATGCTTTACGCTAAAAATTACAACCCCATCCATTCTCAAAGAGGAGAAAGATTTATTTAGCCTCGGAGAAACTGGACCAAAAAAAAAAAAAAAAAAAAATCCAACCCACAAACCAACCCTGTCTTATCTGGACACTTCTCGGCGGAGCTCTGCCACTGTACACCAGATTTGTCTTTCTCACATAAATTTTGCAAAGAATGGGGAGAAACACGCGTTGCTCGCCTCCAAAAGGCAGCTCACGCTGCCAAGGGAAAACGCATTCAGGGGAGTGTTAATTTTGGAGGAAAAAAAAAAAAAAGAGAGAGAGAGAGAAAAAAAAAAGAAAGAAAGAAAAAAAAAAGTGAAAGAAAAAAAAGGAGGGGAAAAAAAAGAAAAAAAAAAAGAGAAAGGAAAAAAAAAAGAAAAAAGGGGAAGGGGAAGGGCCCTTTTTCCAATTTTTTCCAATTTCCCATCCCCGTGCCCCGTAGGTGCCGCAGAGGCAGAGCCTGTGCCCGGGAGCGGTCGGTGCCGGCCGGCGGGCTGTGGGCAGCTCCCCCCGGCCGCACACGGAGCTGCTTTTGTGCAGAGGGGCCCCAGCTCCTTCCTCGCCCCCCCTCGATCCCTTTTCCCCCTTTTTTCTCCCTTTTTTTCCCCCCGGGTGGGTGCGGAGGTGCGGGGCGGCCGCCCTATAAAGCGGCCCCGGGAAGGCAGCTGCGCCTCCAGCCTGGCCGCGCACTTCCACCAGGCAAAGAATTATAATTAAAAATAATAAAAATAATTAAAAAAAGGCATATCAAAGTGCTAAAGTTCTCGCCCAGGTGCTCCTCGCCCCTCATTTCCCCGCAGGTGACTGCGCTGCAGAAACTTTAAATGGGAACGGGATGGGGGCGGCTGGGGGGGAGCGGCGGCGCAGCCGGGCCGGGGGTTAGTTCACAAAGAAGGACGGTAAAAGTATATTAAAATGGTAAAGATTTTATTGTATCGGAAAAAAGAGCTATCTGTACAATTCTAAGAGACAGTAAATAAAGCGACATTGTCCCTACCGGAACTTAAATAGCAGGCCTTTTAAAATTTGTACAATTCAAACAAAAACAGGTTTTAAATCTGTACATTTTTTTTTTTAATTTTTAATTTATAGCGTAATATTTAAATGTATTGATCTTGGGATTTGTTCTTTTTATTTCCGTAGCATGCAAAAAATTCTAAAAAGAGTAAAAAATAATTCTAGGATTTTTTTTTTATTTCTTTTTTTTTTTTTTGTTACCACCTTCATATCAAAAATACGAAAGGCAGCTTTTTAATAAAAGCACAACAATAGCAGAAAATGGTAAAAATAGCTTTTAATTGGTAAAATGAGGCAGAAATTGCATTGGAGACAAATCTCTATGCTCTAGGAAAAAAAGAAAGTAGATATTTTTAAACTTGCATTATACCCCATCCCCAAGTTCCCAAGATTGCGAAAGGAAAAAAAAAAATGTTTTTAAAAGGAAAAAAATAAAATAAAATTACTTCGTGCACATTTGAAACATGCAAGGAAAGAAAAGTGGCTGATTTCGTGTCGTCGCCGTTTTAAGCCTAACTTAAACCTCCTCTAAAGCGGTTCGTTTCGGAAGTCTTTGGAAACAACCGCCCCCCCCCCAGACATCTGGTGGGAGCCGGGTTTGTTCCAAGGTTACGCGTCTCCCTTATGGACGAAACAATCCTAACGGATGGATATTTTTTAAAAAATAATGAAAACCTCAAAAGAATAAAAAATAAAGGGGGGGAAGGGGGGGGGAAAAAAAACTCCAATATATACGTTTAAATATTTATACAGAAGCCGTCCGTAATTGCACCATTCCGAAGATGTGACAGGCGGAGGGATAGCGACTCTACCCTAAATTAATTTTCGCGTGACTGTGGGGGTGTGGGGGTGTGTGTGTGTGTGTGTGTATGTGTTTGTGTGCCGGGCTGCTGCTGCTTATTGCTCTGACCGAGGAGGAGAAGCCGCCGGGCCGAGCCGTGCCGGGCCGGGCTGGGGTGGAGAGGAAGGGGGGGGGTGGGAAGAGGCCGGTTTGGAGCCGTCGGGCGGGGATGGGGGAGCGGGCCGAGGGGGGCGTGGGGTGCGGGGGGGAGCCCGGCGGCCGCCCCTCAGTCATCCACGTCGATCTCCACGTCCTCCTCCTCCTCGTCCTCCTCCTCCTCGCTGTCCCGGCGGCTGCGGGGCCGTTCCGTGGGGGGCGAGACGGGGCGGGGCGGCGGCGGGGCGCCGGGCTCCCGGCTTGCGGGGGGCGGCGGGGGGGAGCCGGGCCGAGTTTTGGCCCGACCTTCGGTGCCGGGCTCCAGCTCGGCCAGGGCTACGATGTCCACGGCGGGGTTGGGGCCCAGCTTTTTGGCGGACTCCACGTCGGCCTTCATCTCCTCCAGGTCGCGTTTGAGCTTGGCGCGGCGGTTTTGGAACCAGGTGATGACCTGGGCGTTGGTGAGCCCCAGCTGCTGGGCGATCTGGTCCCGGTCCGCCGGCGACAGGTATTTTTGGTAGAGGAACCTCTTCTCCAGCTCGTAGATCTGATGGTTGGTGAAGGCCGTCCGCGACTTCCGACGCTTTTTCGGCGTCTGCCGCTGCCCGAAGATCGTCATCCCGTCCCTGCCTGCCGACGAGCCGCCACGTTGCCCCCTTTCCTCGACGGCAACCCCCCCCTCCCCACTTTTGCTCCTTCCCCTCCCGACCCCTGCCTCTCCGTGGGGAGGCAGCGAGGCTCAGCCTCCGCTCCTCCACCCCCGGACCGGCCGTCGTGGCCCTGCCACCCCCCCCCCTTTTATTCCACCGAAAAACCCCAAATCCCCGACGGCGCCCCCCGCAACCTTTCCTCCAGCCCGCCCCCGAAGGGCCACCCCCGGGCGCTTCTCCTTACCTTCGGCCGCCTGCAGCACGCTGACTTCCAGCCCCTTGAAGGTTTTGCTGGCCAGCTCCTCCAGGGCGCAGAGGGGAGACGTTTGGGAGAGCAGCGGCCGGCCGGAGAGGGGCAGCCCGGCCGGGGGGTGCTTGTCGGCGGCGGAGAGCAGGTGGGCAGTCCCGCAGAGCGCGTAACTCCTCCGCACCGACGGCTTGTTGAGGATGTCCTCGATGCTGAAGGGGGTGAGGGGCTTGTTGGAGTTGGCCGGCGGGGGGAGGTGATCCAGAGGGCTCCTCCGCCGTTCTTCCCCCGACGAAGGTTTGGCTTCTTCTTTGGAAGTCATGGTGGGGCCGGGCCGCGCGGGGCTGCCTTCCCCACCCGCCGCGGGGATGCGCTGCCGCGGGGAAAAAAACCCGGCGGGACCGCGGGGAAGAGGAGGAGGAGAGGGCAGAGAGCAAAAGTTGAAGCCCACCTCCAAGGCCGGCGGAGGAGCCCCGGGTCTGCCCGGGGAGAGCCACGTCGGGCGGCCGGCGGGGCGGCCGGGAGCGGAGCTGCCGTCGGTCCCTCGCCGAGAGGTGGTCCTGCCGCACCTCCTGTCCCAGGGTTTCGGGTCGGGGATTTTTCCCTCTCTCTCTCCTCTCTCTCTCTCTCTCTCTGTCCTCCCTCTCTCTCTCTCTCTCTCTCTCTTCTCTCTCTCTCTTCTCTCTTTTCCTCTCCCCAGCCGCTATTTTAAGAAACACCCCAAATCGCAGCACTTTCCCTGCCCTCCCCCCCCGAAACGAATGCCCCCCGAAATAAGGAAAATTAAAAAAAAAAAAAAAGGAAAAAGCAAAAAAAAAAAAAAAAGACTTCGAAGAGGGGGAGAGCAGCCCTCGCACCGAGACCTCGGACCGGGGGGAAAGAGGCGAGAAGAGACGGGGTAATTGACTATTGCTAACAAGTTATTGTTGATTGGGAGGTAATCAATTATCTTCAATGACACTTTTCGCCCTCTCTCTCTCTCTCTCTCTCTCGCTCTCTCTCTCTCTGTCCAATGCAGGCTTTTGCAAGTTCGGAGACCCATTAATTAGGAGGCGGTATGTAGGTGGAGCCCAGTTGAATTATAATGCTGAATGCACTTGTCATATTCTGGCCCTGCTATTTGTTTGGACATATATATTTTTAAATTACATTACAAAGCAGCCTTTATTGCATAAGGATAATACAGTAGAGTGAAAAATAATAATAAGCGAAAACAAAACAAAACAAAAATCCAGCGGTTTCTTTTTTTTTTTTTTCTTTCGGGTTTTTTATTTCTTTTTTTATTTCTTTTTATTTTTTTTCCCGATATATATATTTTTTTCTTCTATTTCTCCCTCTTCTTAATTCCGGCTACTAGTTTATCTAAAATGCCTCTCTCGGGCTCTCTCCCGGAGCCGTTTGGTGTTTTAATGAGGGGAAGAAGGGGAGATGCGTTGTTTCCAGGTAAGGCAGACCTTTCCTTTCGAATAAAACCCGAAGCTTGCCGCTGATTTTGTCGTGCTCCTCTTTCCCAGCGCCCTGTGCCGGGGGGGTTGCGGGGCCGGGGCCCCTCCAAGTTGCTGCCTCCGGGGGTCGGTGTTCGGGGGAAAGGGGGGTGCGATGAGCCCGGCCCGGCTCGGCTCGGCTCGGTTAGGCTCAGCTCGGCCTCCCCGGGCACAGAGGGCCGGATTCCAGCCCCAGGCCTCCCCGTGCCAGCCCTCGGGTGGCTCCGGAGTTGGAGAGAGTGAAGGTGGGGGGGGGGGGGGGGCGCAGGGTGCTGCAGGGCTCGGCGCCCACCCCCTCGGGGAAAATCAACCCGGGCCACGCAGTGGGGGTGAGAATCGCCCCTTCTAATCCGAACCGGGGTCGGAGACAAAGCCCAGGGCCGGGGTGGGGTGGGACGTGCCCGGCTCCGGGGGCGGCGGGTCCCGGCCGGGCTGCCCGCGGCTGGACGGGGAGGACCCGAGGGGGCTCTGCTCGGCTCCGGCTCCGGCCCCAAACTTTTTTTTCCTTCCTCACCTCGAGTGGCAGGAGGAGAGCGGCTGGCAGCTCCCAGGCCGCTAGGTACCAAAGAAGCACAAAAGAAGCAAATGGCTTCTCTCCTTAAAGCGCCCTCTTCCCATTTTTTATAGCTCTCTGGGAGTCTCTTTATGCAGTGACCTATTTTTAAAGGCCTATATTGGGTTATTCATCATATCAAATACTGCGAGGAGCTGGGGGGGAGCCGGTCGGGGGGGAGCGTATTACACTGATTCTAAATCGCCGGGCTTCTTTGCTTTGCTAGGTGGATTATTTGCTTCGCTTTGCTTGGGTTTTATGAAGTGATTTAAACATATTTTAACCAATTAGAGACTTTCCTCCTCTCCCTTGTGTCCCCTCGCATTATTTTCCAGCGTGGCGTTTTATGTCAGGATCCGGGTTTTATTGAGGACTCAGCCGGGGATGCTGGTGTTATAATTACAGAAATAAGATTAAAAAAAAAAAAAAAAAGAACAGGGGGAAAAACAAAAAAATAATCCAGTTCCTGGGTGAGAGTTGGGGCAGGTTGGCCGAGCGTTTTGGGATGCGCCGAGGCTTCAGCTCCGCTCGCCCTTCCCGCAGCGCGGATGGCAGAGAGCAGCCCCCACCCCGAGAGCAGCCCCCTCCGTTCAGGGCAAGGGGGAGACTGTGCTAAGGACGGCAAAGAGCCGCAAAGATTTTGGGTTTCCAAAGATTTTGGGTTTCCCCCGTAGTCCCTCCAAACAGCGTCTCCCCTCCCGAAGTGGGGTCAGGGGTCTCCGTGCCCCCGGTGCTTTTTGGTTCCCAACGGAACCAAAGCGGGCACAGCCCGGGGGGGCGGGCAGCACCCCCAGGACGGGCTCTCCGGCCAGGGGGGGGCTTTTTCGTTTGCCTCGCCCGGTCCGTGGCAATGATGCGGGGCTCAATCGGGGCACGGGTGGCTCCAGGCCTGGCGCCTGCCCTTCTCCCCGGCACCCCCAAAATATCACATCGCTGGGAAAAAGGGCAGCCGGGGGGGGTGGGGCTGAAAGGAAAGGGGGCTCTGTGGATGTCCCGGGGGGGGTCGTAGCCACCCCGCTCCACCGTGCTCTGGGCTGCTCGCTGGCGCCTTTGGTGCGTTTGGGTTTGTTTCCTGCGCTCCCTTTGCGCTCGCTGCAACTCTTTCCCTTCACATCCATCCCCTATACGGACACCCTATATATCTGCGCACCGGGAGGGGGGGCAAAATTAAAAGGAGGGGCAGGCTGGGTTGCCCCTTCCCTGGCTTGGGGAAAAAGCACAGCATCCCCTTTCCGCACCCCCCGATGCTTAATTTTTTGTTTTGTTTTGTTTTGTTTTGGCAGCCCTCTTGGCACCCGGCCCCGAATTGGAGACCCTCGGTGCCCCGCGGCGGGTCCCATCGCATCTCCCCGTCCTCGGAGGGCCCCGGGGAGCAGGGGGGGCACCGGGAGCAGCCCGGGGTCGGATCCTGCCTCCTCCACCAAACTTCGCGTCCTGCCGGGCTCTTCTCCTGCCCGCCCAGCCGTCGGCTCTTCTCTCCCGGTTTTGGGTTCGTTTTGGGGGAAAACCGCCCTTATTCGCAGCGTTTCACCCCGCTTTTACCAGCTCCAGCTCCTGCGAGGGGGGACCCGGCACCCATTCCCCCTCGGGGCACGCAAAAAAGTTTGGGGCCGGACCCAGAGAGGAGGGAACGGCGGCACCGAGGGATGGAGGAGGGGGTCCTGGAGCCGTCGGGGAAATGTGGCGCAGGGTCCCCGCCTTCCAGCGGGGAAGAAAAGCGGGTGAGCAGCGGCCTTTCCCGCAGAAAACCCCCGCTTACCCTGGGGCGTAAAGAAACCCTCCGGCTACGGGGGGCAGCTTTGGAGGCGTCTCCCCCCGCCGCCCCCAGAGCCGTATTTTGGGGTGGCGGCACCGCCCTCCTCCCCCTTTTTTTGCCCCCCCCCCTTCCCCGCAGGCAGCCCGGGGGCCGCTCGGGTTTGGCTGCGTGCGGCCCCGCTTTTGTCCAGGAAAATGTCACAGGAATCGAATTAAAGCAGGCGGCATAAATCATTCAAGTGTTGATCACCAAAGTAACTGCGTACAAATGACACCTCCTTCCCCGGCATAGCTGAGCCGTGCATGGCTCCCAGTTATGTCTGCCTGCTCGAAGTGCCCTAAACACGTTGCGGCTCCCCGGGAGAGGCTCGGAGAGGAGCAGACTCCGTGCCCTCCAGCTGCCAGCGAGCTCAGGGGCCTGGCACAGCATCCCAAAGAGGGGGGAGCTCGGCAACTAACTGGGTTTTGTCTTCAAGCCCCCCCCTTTCCCCAGATTTGGGGTGGCGAGTGCGCGCAGGCGGAGAGAGCCCGGAGGTCCCCTTCGCCTTCCCTCGCAGAGCAGCCGGTAAATGTCCCCATGTCCCCCGTGGGTGGCCACAGGTGTCCTCCTTCCTCGCCTCCGACGGGCTCCTTGCTCCCCCCGGCAAACAACCGCCCCCGCCTGGGCGCACGCCGGGTCCCGGCGCTGCCGGGGAGGGTCCTGGGGGGCCCCGGGGAGCCCCGCGGAGCTGAGCAGAAGCCCCCCGACAGAGCCCATCTCCCGAGGTCGTTTTGTAGCCGTGTCCCTCTTCTTCCTCCCCTCGCAAGCCGTTCCCTTGCGAGGAAAAAAAAAATAAAAATAAATAACTTCGCCGCACCAAAAATAAACCTGACCCAAGCGCCCGCACCCGGCCGGGGAAACGGGGCCAGAGGCAGGGCAGGCGGGCGGGAGCGCACCTCCCCAAAAAGCCTTCCCCCTTAACCAAAAAAGAGCGAAACCGGGATTTTCCCCAAGGCCACGGGCAGCGGGGATGCGGGGAAGCGGCGGAGGCACGGCGAGGCCCTGCCCGAGCCCCCAATTTATCCCCGAGGGGGGGACACACGAAACCCACCGCCCCAAAAGCACGGCTGAACGCGGGGCAGCGGGGGGCGGCCCCCGCTTTTTCGTTTGCGAGCAAACTCCCGGGGACAGCCAGCGGCATCGGGGTGGGTGGGGAGCGGGGGTCGGGCCCCCCCCTGCTCACCCAAAGGGACAATTTGTTTTTTCCTGGCTTGCCCCCCCCCCCCCGGCTGTGCCCCTACAGCCTCCCTGCCGTCAGGGAGGCCGGGGGAGGGCAACGAGCCTCTGCTCTGAATTTGGGGGAGCCCCGATGTAAGGGGGAAGCTCCCGGAGGAGGGGGCCTGGGGCCTGGATGCAAGGAAAAAGGGGGAGCCCCCCCCGCCCCGTAAGTCGGTCCCAAGCACAAACTAAACGCAGCTCCCGAGGGTGTCCCCATCCCAAACGCCGGGTGGTCCCTAAGCACGGTGGGGGACCCTTCTGGGGGTTTTAGGGGTTCTCGGGGGGGTGCAGAGCCCCTCCGAGCCGCTGCAGAGGGCAGCCAGGTCAGGGTGGTGGGGACAGGGATAGGGAGAGGGACAGGGACAGGGACAGGGACAGGGACAGGGTCGGATCCTTCTGCAGCCGCCGCAGGGACTCCCGAAATGGAGACGTGAGTGCCTGCGGCTCGGTGCATTTTTAGCCTTTAAAACTCCAGAATTTTAATTTCTAGTCCCAGAAACGCAGCTGGACGCGGGCTCCTGGAAAAGAACAGCCGGGACGTGCCCGTCCCAGGTCAGAGAGAGGCGAGAACTTGATTTATTTTATTTTATTTTATTTTATTTTATTTTACTTTATTTTATTTTACTTTATTTTTAAACACTTCGAGAAGTGCCATTTGCAGGACCCCCGCAGAGGAGGAGGAGGAGGAGGGAGGCCGGAGGCGGGCAGGGAGGTGGCACGGAGCCACCGGGAGCATTTCAGGCCTCCCGGCCGTGCCAGGCTCTGTGGGCGGCAGAGATTTGGCAGCTCCCGGGCCCTCCGTGCCCCTTCTCCATCCCGGGAGAGGCGAGGCCAGGGCAGGGAGCAAATTGGGGCGAGGAGAGCACAGGGGATGCTCGCAGGACGTCCCCTGCCCCACGGCTTCACTCTGGACAAAACTTTGTTGGAAGGGGGGAGCCAAGGGGAGCATCCACACGGGGATATGACAGCCGAGCCGTGCTGGCTCCTCCGAGACCTGTAATATCTCCTCCGCTCCCGGCACGCGTGAATAATTCACCAGGCTGCCAAATGCAAGTAACGTGTGGCAGCTCTGAAGGAGCCGGGGAGGCGAAGGCTCATTTTTGGGGGGCAGGAGGAGGTGTGGGGAATCAATTGAAACTTAATAAAGGGAGTGGGGGGGAGAATGGCGGAAATAAGCTAGGCAACTTCTTCTAATAACAACTTGGTGTTAATAATTCAGGAGCAGTCATTGGATTATAGCGCAATATCCGAAGTACGCCTTGCCGGCACAGTGCGGGTGGATAATGTAATCGGAGCTCATTTCGCCTTCCAATAAATTACAGCAGCAAAAGTTTCCTGTTAAAGCAGTTATTTGTATTTCTTTTTTGAAGGTGATCCCCCTCCCTCCTCCTCTTCCAACAACCAAAGTGAGAAAATTAATTAAAAACTAATATTTCCCTTGCAAAAGCAGTATCGAGATGTGGAGCGGGAGGCGCTGCCGGAGTTTGGCCGTGATCTCTTCCAACTTTCTGTGCTGCGAGGCTGCTCCTCCTTCCCTCCCTCTCTCCCTCCTTCTTTTATTTTTTTTCTTTCATTTTTTTTTTTTCCCATTTCTCCTTCCATCCTTTTCTGCATCCTGCCTTGTAGGACCCCTCCACGCTCCCCCAGCACAGGCACCCCTCACCCCAGTGGGCGCTCTGCACCCTGACCCTCTGTCTCCCCTGGGACACCGATGGGACATGTTGGGGACCAGACCAGACCATAGAGGGTCTTAAGGGGTCCCAAGGTGGTCCCCAACCCCCTCCCAGCCCTCGCTGTGGATGCAGGGCTCTGCTGCACCCCTCTCTGGTGCCAGCAGCTCCCTGCATCCTGCCTTGGGCCCATCTCAGAGCCGCCTTTCCCCAACTTGTCCAAGGTCAGGACAGACCCCTCTGGTGGGATGCTTTGTACCTCGGTTTATTTTATTCTACTTTCTGCCCCGGGAGCCTCAGCTGCGTTCCTCAGCCCAGGCTTGGCCCCTTCGATGGGTACTTTGAGCATCCTGTGATGGTGGCTGGTGGCATTTCCCTGCTGTGAGCTCGCAGCCTTTCTGTACCCATCGCTGTCAGATCAAGCTGCCTCCTGGCTCCACTGCTGCCTGCCGGTGTGAGGATGAGGGAGAGAGAAGAGCTTCCTGAAGCAGGATGGGCCGAAAAAATCTCTCCCCTATTAGGCATCTCCCTAATTCCTGCTTTTCAGGAAATGACTCAAACTCTCAATTCCAAGGCTTAATACCACTTCAAGGATGCCTCATCTTTAGTGATTCCATGTCTCTGCTTGCCAAGGTCTAGCCAATCTCTGTCCTCTGTTCTGTTCACTTTGTGACATCTCGTGGCACTGAATTCCCACGTCCTCCTGCCTGACACCCAGGGCTCTTTTCCAGCTGGTGAATGATTATTTGCAATGGTGGAACTTCACTGCCTGGGATTTATTTTTTTTTTTTTTTCCCTGGGCACTTAGTAAAGCACACGTAGTGAACAGCCTCAAGATTTCTCCCATTTTTTCTGCTTGAAATCTCCTCGGGGTCTACTTAGTTCTGCTGCTTCGTACAGGTGTGGAGAGAAGGCCTTGGCTAACGCCAAATACGCAGCAACACGTGGGCCTGGATTCTGCCTCCATAGGACACAAGCAGTCAGGATCCCCACACCTGATAGCCCTACACCTTAATGAGGACCCACCGGTCAGAGGAAGAGCTAACGAGGGGGGTGAAACCCATAAAGGGAGGCCCCAAAAGAGGTGCAAAAGTGATGCAGCTGGGGACGTGCATGGGGAAGGGCTGGTGTGGGCATCGCTCTGCCCTTACACCTCACCTCGGGGAGGGTCTGAGGCCTCGGGAAAGACCCGTGTGAGTGGAGGTGAGTCTCGAAGGGACCACGAGAGGGGCTGCAAGGGGAGCCCTGGAGCAGGGGACCCGCGGGGCGGAGGCGGGGAGCAGCCGCTAGAGGGAGGACGGGGAGCGCAGAGGGTGCGCGGCCGGGGCGCGGGGCTGGCCCAGCCGCCGGGGCGATTTGCCGGGAGCAGCCCCTCTCCTGCTCCTAAATCCTATATTTTTAGGTTTAGGAAGCCCTCTACCTGCTCCTGCGGCTTCTTTTAGTGTCAGCTAAGAGGCTGGCGTCAAAAGGCTCCTGCGCCCTGCAAGTCCTGTGTTAGAGCTCCTGCAGTGGGAGACCTCCAAGGCAAGCAGGGTAAAAAAAAAAAAAAAGTGACTCCAATTTCCTAAGGTTAAACACTTGTCGACTGGTAATGCAAGCTACAGATTGCAGCAGTGTGGTTTTTTAGGTAGATACAGGTCCTTACACGGTGACCTCCCTCCCCAGAGGGGATACAGGAGAGGGTGAGCAGTGAAACCCGGTGGAGTGCCCAAAGGTCCCCCAGGCTCCGGAGCAGTTGCGGTGCTGTGGGTGCAGCAGGGCTCCTCGTTTCTTTGGTCTTTGCCCTTTTGCCCTGTGCGTGTGCGTAATCTGCAGCCCCACCGGCTCAGTGTTTCAGAGCTGGGCACGTAGTGCTGCAGGAACACGACCTTTTGCTCTGAAGATGGTAAGAGCTTTGTGCTGGCAGCAGAGCGGCATACCCGGTACAAATATAATCATTCTGATAATAAATCACCATCCATAATAAGAAGACATCGTTAATAATAAGTCATCCAGGGGCCTCCTGAGACCAGCATACAACTTACTGCAAAAATAGCTAGGAAGCATGGTGTGATCATTACAAGGAAGATAACAAATAAAAGAGAAAATGACTTTTATAGGCATTTAGCTCTTCTCTCCTTCCCCCAGCTTCCAGCCAGTTCTGTTATCCGTCTGGTATCTGGATGGCTAGGATTTAAGTTTGGTCACAAACTGAGACTGAATTCTGCAGATGCTGAGCCCTGGGTTCCCAGCACCTGTGAGTTGGCCAGATTGCTACCCGCAAAGGAGCTGCTGGGCAGAAATCCTGCCTTTCTTTTCCTTTTATTTTCTCTCCCCTCTGCTCACAGTTTGATCCTGTAGCTCTCCCAATTTCTACAAAGGTCCTGGATGCAAGCAAGCGCTCCCTGGTTATGATATACAGGAGCCAGCTGAGGCCTTGCCCATAAATGTCGCCTCTTTCTGTACCTCTTCAATTGGCACGATTTGTTGCCCGCCTCACATGGCTTTGTTTCTGCTCAGCTGACGGGGTGACCGGGCTCTGGAAACCGGAGAGCAGCGAGGGGCAAACTCATGGCAAAAAAAAAAAATAAAAAAAAAATAAAAAAATTAAATGAATGAATGTTTGCATCGAGAACTCTCCAGACCCAGGAATATTTCCATATGTGAACTGGCTGGCACCAAAGGGCTGGTGAAAACTGCCCGGTGCACAGGGGCTGAGGGAATTTTGGCACATTTGGTTAAGGATGAATTTGCAAGTCGTGCCTTGTGCTGTTCCATCAGCTCGGTAATAGATTTGCTCTGGATATCAGCGCTGCTTTCCTGCGGCAGAGGGGGGAAGAGGTTAGGGCTGTTAAAATCTTTCTTGGTTCCTACCCTTGTTTGCGTTTGCCAGGCAAACAATAGCAGATGTTATATAGTCAGTTCAGTTCGCTACTAGTCCCATTATGTTCTATTTATGTTTCACTTTATTGGCTTTTTTTTTATTTTCCTATTATTGTTTCACTCTGGGGGAGGCAGAGGATATAATATATTCATCTTTATTATACAAAATCTGTGTGAAGCATTTAATAAAATGCTGTTTCCACACAGCTAGGAATATTACTGTTAGCTATTCTTAAGTTAATGCTCCTATTAAAAAATGTTTGATGGCTGCAGTGACTGGAACTTGTGTGGACAAAAAGCGCACACACCACTAAATAAGGCACTCGTGGCAATTTAGAGATTTCCTGATGCCTCACAGAAAACTTCTGGTTAGCCAGCTTTTTGCTTACTTAGCATATTTCCAGCACTGCTCTTTCCTGTTTTTTTTATTAGATGTATTTGGATGAAGAAGTTTTTGCTCTTCCTCCCCAAACTTCCCCCTGGTACAGGAGGGGTGTGATCCAGCCCCATCCTCAGGTCGCCTTCCCAGGCAGGGATTTTGGTAGATGAGCGATGGGAAAGAACCTATTCCTGAGAAAGAAAAAAGCCATTTTCAGATTGTTTTTTTTTTTTTTTTTTTTTTTCCTTAATGGAGAGCTTTCCAGGAAAGGCACAGACACCCACACCCGGAGCCGACGGAGGCTGGCAGATTGATGGGTTTGTTTGCGGAGGCAGAGCTCAGTCACACACAGCCCAATGCCAGGCTTTTCCCCTGCATGGGCAGGGCTTTGCGATGCAGAATGAGGTTGACGAACCCTCTCAGGATCAGGGGTTTTATTTTTACCTGTCTCATTTAAAGAGCACCGAGGCAGCTCGGTGCGTGCTTGCAGGCGTGCTAATGACAGGCGGCGTGGCACTGATCCATGCCAGCGCTGCGGAGAGAGGCTGGGGGAGGCCATACGGGGTCTGGCCGAGGTCTGCCTGGCCCCATACCCCGAATCCAGCCGTGGCTGGTGGAAGGGTGCGCTCAGGGAGGGAAAAACCCAATTACAGAGTGTATTATTGCCATTATATTAGTGCATCATATTATTAGGATGCGTACCCTAGCGAGTGCATGGCGTGCTTCCCTGGGACACTTCATCAGCCCCCAGCAGTCCGTGGTTCAGAGATTCCTGAGCAGTGATACTTGGGTGTTTTACAGCCCCGGATAGATTGCTCCTCCACGAACGTGTCTAACCACTTGTTCAACCCATATAATCTTTTGGCATCCACAATATCCCGGGGCAATGAGTTTCACGGCTGATCTACAAGCTATGCAGATAAGATCTCCCTTTCATTTGTTACTGAGCCTGCCACCAGACAACTTCACTCGGTTCGCACTTGTTCAGGAAGAGGCAACACACGGTTAAGCCCTGCTCGCCCTCTCCCCAGCCTGACAGCACAGATGCCCGTAGTCCTTGGTGTTCCTAATATTCCTAATTTTCCTAAAATTCCGTATTCCTAAACTCTGGAAGCATGGAGCTGACCAGAGGGAGTGCATCTCCTGTAATCCAGGGCTGAGAAGCTGATGGAAAGGAGGAAAAAAGCTCATCCTAGTTGGCCAAAATCCCCAGCGTTTCCTGAGGAGCCAGGGCAAAGCGCAGAGGGGGAGCTCAGGGCTCTCACACGCTCTCCTAGGATAGATCTAAGCAGCCCTGGGTGCTTTGCTCACCCAGGTCTGGCTCTTTCATGCACCAGATATGACAATGAGAGAGAAGGAGGAGGTGCAGGGGGGAGGGAGAAGGGGTCTTCAGATAAGGCTGAAGCCCCCATCCTCATAGAGGTGATGGGAATGGCTCGGTGGCACTGTGGGGGACACCAACCCTGCCAGGCTTGGGAGGGAGCCTCTGGAGAGGCAATCTGAGGGCTTTGGTATATGACAGGAGTGAGGAGTGAGCCAGATTTGCTTGAAATACTTCATTTTAATTGCAGACGGCTGCCTGCCGTCTCCCTGCCTGCTTGCTGGGAAGCGTTTCCATCCCAGCCGTGCAACTTTAGGGCTGCCGGGAGGTGCTGGGGTGGGCAGGAATAAGTCCTTGGTGCAGGTGTCTCCCCTGAGCAGTCCTCAAGGTTTCAGCCTTGGGCTCCCTGTGCTCTGCTGGGCAGGCTCCTCGGGCCACCCAGCCTCACTGCTTTGATGCATTTTTGCAAGTTTTTCATGTTTTTCTCAAAATCTTGGGGGCAGTTTGTGGGTCATGGATGGGTTTTCTAACCCATGTTTTGTGGGGAGTGAGGTACCCTTGAAGATGAGCTGATGCTTGTGGACAAAACACCCAAGGCAGGCAACAAGGATAAAACCATGATTTTGAACCTATCTCCCTGCTTTTTTGGCTGCTTGGTGTTGACAGCGCTGAGACAGAGCATGGATTTCCCACCAGGACCTGCAATTTTCCCAAATCCCTCAGTCTCCAGAAGCCATTAAACAAAATCACTGCCTTCCCTGCGACCTCCCATTGCAGTTCACGATCTGATGCTCTGCACTGCTGTAACACGCAGCCCCTGGGACACCTCCCACACCCGGGTGTCTGCTGAGCACCTCGCAAACCACCCATGGGCTCGGCTACATCTGGTCCCGCAGGTGCTCCAGCCTTGCAGGTTCCCTGGCAGGAGGTGACTGACACAGGGGAATTGTTCATTTCAGAAAAGGAAGACACAGTTTTTGTCCGGCAGAAACCGTGGATGTGCCCAGCCCTTCACACCACAAGGATAATTCAGTCCTGTGGGGAAACGCGGTGCCTGCCCCCGAGGTGAGTGACTATCTGCCATCGCTTCAGCTGGTAAGCATGAGAAACAGGGGCAGGGTGGTGTTTCTTTACCTCTTGGGCTCTTTTTTCCTGCTCTTGGTTATGCTGAAGGCTGTTATGGTAAAAAATGCTGGCTGTAAGCTCTGGGCCCCATTTCCAATAGGCAGAACTGGATAATCTCACTCTGTGCCCCAGCTCCCTATACCCAAAGCCCTACACAATATCCTCAAATTAACCAGATTTAGACACCTCCATGTCCTCTTCTACGAGCCCCAAAGCTCTCCAGACACCACCAGTAGATGCCACTTGTAGGGCCTGGGGTCCTACAAGTGTCCCCTTGCCCCGTGCCTGGCATGGGCTGAGCTGTGGGCGCAGAGCAGGGCAGAGCAGCTCAGGCAGCCCCTTCCCCAACCCCACCACACAGGAGGGGAGCAGCACCCATCCCATCTCCCCAAAAGTGCTCTCCCCTCCCCAGCAAACCCCTTTGCCTTCCCCTCCCCGTGCCAGCGCGGGGCAGCAGCCGGACAGGGCAGGCGAGCGCACGAAGGCCGGCGGCGCGGCGCTCTGCTGGCTGCCTGCGTGGTTCTGCATCCCATTTCCCTGGTTCTGCATCCTGTTTCCCTGGTTTCGCATGGCAGCAGCCCACGTTCGCCTGCGCGGAGCCTTCCTCTGGCTTGCTGGCAGCCGCGCTTCCAAACCCAGCTTGCCGTTTTCCCCAGGGTGGCGGGATTGATTGGCTCCAGCCGGAATGGGCATGGCTCTCCGCTGCTTGGACCGAGCTGCAACCATCTGTTACACCTCTAGTTAAAAGTACATAAAGTTGAGCATTTGCGTGTAGACAATACCACCCCTGATACGCTTTCCACCGCACATCCCTCTCGCGCTTTGGCAGGATCTCGCACCGCGATGGGCCCAGTACAGGAGCAACCGGCACTTCAGCTCTGCTGGAACGAAGCGGCGTGGAGATGGCAGGGGTGTAAATCAGCCCCTTCCTCGCTCTGCCGCAGCCATCCGCCCTCGGTTTTGCAGTGTGCCATGCCCTGGGCTCGCCCCTTGCTGGGGCTGGGTCCCAGCAGCCCACCAGGCTTCAGTCCTGCTGGAAATGGCAGCGCATCGCTGCTCGCTGGGCACCCGTCAGGCTAAATCACCAAGGATAAAAAGGCAGAGATGTGGGGAAATGGGGCCAGCGTGTACGAGAGCTGAGTGTGCAGCTGGATTGCCCACCAAGCCCTGCACCTGCAGAGGGCTGGAGCTGCCCTGCTGGCTGCTGCCAGCCTGGCCCCGTGCTGTGTTTGCCTTCTGGATGTCCCTGCGTGGCCGTGCCATGCGGGAAGGGCACAGGAGCGGGGTGGGATGGTGGCTGCCATCCCCTCCCTGCAAGCGTTGGTTGGAGCCAGCACGGCCACCATCACGTGCAGCAGCTCCTGGTTCAAACCCAGCAGGCACCCCTGGAACGGGAGCAAGGCTCCTCGGGAAGGGGCTCAGCGTGCTAGGATGCGTTCCTCCTACCCCAGCTGGCCTGTGCTATCCACGTCTGGGTGTAAGTGACACCCCCACCATGCCAGGTCCTTGACCTGGGAGGAATTGCTTGGCCACGCCGGCCACCTGACTGCTGGGGCAACCTGCTGCAGAGAGAGGCTTCGGCACAGCCTGGTGCCAGGGCGAAGGGGCTGCTTTGATCCCACTCTCGGGGGGGCCACATGATCCACCCGCCCTGGGGCTTGAAGAGATGGGAGCTTTGGGGTGAGGGTGCTGGAGGATGTCCCCTCCCTGGCTGTGGTCACTGCTGGGTCTGCACCAAGACCATGCCCACCAACACGTCCCACCAGAGCCTGTCCCTCTTTGGGGGAACATAGGGGTGGTTTGGGTGGGCACGCCAACTTATCTAGGGGTCTATAACCACCCAGGGTGACAGGGAGAGGACCCATGGAGGGAGAAGAAGAGCCCCCAAAAGGAACGGGGAGAAAACAACCAGAGCAGGTGGCAGAGGAAAGGGAGAGAGGCAGGGGGAAGAGGACGAAAGGAAAGATCAAGGTCCTGCTGCCTGTCAGCCCTTCAAAGGCCGGGTGTAAAAGGATCTCAGAGGGAGCGGAGGGGACAGGTCATGCCAGCCTGCAGCCCGGACAAAGGAGATGATGACAAGCAACTATTTTAGCAGATGGCCTGCAGCCATCTCGCCTCGGGCGGCGCAATCATCCAGTCCCCTAAGCTGAGCAAAAAACAGCCTTGGGTCCGGAGCTGGGTGGCAAAGCCTGGGTGGTGGGACGAGGGGCTGCTCCCCGAGGGCACCGTGAGCTGGCAGAGGTGGGGAGCGGGGTGCTGCCCCCCCCCCCGAGGGTCACCTTCCCAGCCAAGCGTGTGACAGCTTTGGGCTGGGCTGGGGAGGATGGGAATGTGAACCTCGGAGTTGAGTTCCAGATCCTGGCATGGGATGGGACGTCAGGAGGATGCTGAGGTGTTTGGGGAGCTGCTTTGCAATATATTTGCGTGTTTTTTCTTTTTATATTCATTTTTTTGGTCATGTGGGAGCCAGGCAGGAGCAGCCCCAGCGGGAACTGTTGGGCAAGCAGCTAGCAAATACCCGAGTGGCTCTTCCACAGCCTCTCCCTGCTATCTTTGAGGGACCGCAGGAAGATGTGACCCCGCTGAGAGGATGCAGGGCGCGATCCACGCAGCACCTGCTTTACTTCAAGCGCAGGCACAAAGCCCTCGGTAGCCAAAGAGATTTAAGCACATGCTTGGAGCAAAGCCTGGCTGTCAGCATGCTTGTTGAATCAGGACAGGGGCTGTCAGACACGCATCGGAACTGGTCTGCAAACATGGCTGCTTTAAATTCATCACCCAAACCTCGCGTGTAGGCACCTCTCTGGATACCCCCCGGTAGCCAAAGCAGCGCCGCTGGGTCACGGGGAGCTGCCATTAATAGCAGCGGGGCCCCGAGCCGTGCCAGGTGGGTGTGGAGCAAACCCAAGAATCTCACACATTATTCCGATTGAGACATCATTGACAGGGAGGGGAAAAAAAAATCCGACCCAAAGCTCCTAAATCCACCAAGCTTTAAAAAGCCAGCAAGGAATGGCCAAGGCTGAACTTGGCTGCGCCGCTCCTCCTGCAGGGATCCCCGGGGCACGGCCGAGTCTAGTGTTGCCTCTGGCATTTTTATCCCATTTGATTCATTCTATTTGTTCTTGATCCTGTTAACTTCATCCTATTGATTCGAGTGCATTTCCATAGTCCCTTATGGTCGCCTTCCTGCAGCACTTTCAGATTTAGGCGTGCAGGATGGGCTCTTTCTGCCCTGGGAAACACAGCGGTTAGCCCAGGGGCGTGCTGCTCCAAGGTCCCCAGGTCTCAGGGACAGTTTTTTTTTGTTTGTCCTGCTCAGACAAATAGGTTCATTGCCACTCAAGGTAGGGTGTGCTTCTGGACGCATGCAGGGAAGGTCAAAGGGTTTTAACCGTGCAAAGGGCAAAAAACGGAGCCTGTTGAAGTGGTTTTGGTGCAGTTCAGAGCTGTGATCGGAGCCATTCCACTAGAACTGGGCAAGCAGGGAATTAGGGCATTTTCATGAGCCACTATTTTCAATAGTGCTTTCCCCAGAAAGCCACCTCCACTCGGAGTGACCTGGGGATTTTTAATAAGTGGATTCCAGTGGATCCACGCCTGGGAGCACCGGGAGTCCCTGTGTGCCTTGGAGCACTCAGCCCTTGCCATCCCAAGGTTTTCCATCCCAGCGAAATCCGCAGAGCCCCATGTCTTCCAGATTGTCCCTCTGAGCTCAAGACCTGTCTTGTGTCACGTACCTCTGGGCTGGAAAGGGGCATAAAGGCCCTCACTGTAAATAAAGATGAAAACCCAAACGGCATGCACAGCGCCTTGTTCAAAGCGCTCGGCGCATTTGAAATCGGCGGCCCCATAAAATCCGAGTGGGTTCAGAAACGTTTGGAGTCACGGGAGCTGGGGTCCCCCGGGGGAAGAGGGGGCTGGCAGGGGTGGGGGGGGCTGTGAGGTCCCCTCCCCGGGGCTGGGGACGCGTAAATCAGAGCCTTCGCCCTTCGCCGTGGCTCTCGGTGGAGGGGTCGGGGGTCAGGAGCTCCCCTCTCCAAATAATCCCGGACAATCAGGAAGTGTTTCTCGTTTGATGAATTAGGTGTATAAAATCCGTGAAGGGCTCACGGATGGACAGACCTTTTCCTTTCTTCATGGGGATAATATTTCATGATTTGGGGAGGAAGGAGCACAAAGGGAGGGGGGGAATAATTAGTAATTTGTGATTAACTCTTTTCACGGGTATTTTATTTCTTTGTTCTCTAATGCCGCCTGGAGCCATTTAAAAAATGACTTAACGACAACAACCAAACTAATCGCTCTTCGTAACTAATGGCTGTGTCAGAACTTGGAAATCAAACCGAGGGTCTTGGACCAAGTTGCAGGGGAGATGCTGAGAGCAGGAGAGGGGGTGGAGAGGAATTCTCTGCCCGGTGTCAGATGAATGGTCAGAAAGGGCCCCGAGATCTGCAGCGATAAGGCAGAAGACAGAAAACCTCTCTGGAAAGCTGGTGGTTGAGGAGTTTGGGTGGTGGGAGGCATGGACAGAGCCCAGGGAGAGGCCTCAGTGCTGGCTGTGGGTGAGCTCGGGACCCCCAGCCTCTCCGCTCTGCCTGGCGCACATCAGGCAGCGAGAGCATCACGTTCAGAGCCTTTTGGAGCTATGATTTAGAAAGGCAAATCCATTCTGGCGCCTGATTATGACACTGACATTAAAAGCACCGGGAACCTCGAATCGATGGAGGTTAATTTATTTAGACCGTAAAGCAGGAATTAATTTGAAAGGGGCCGCGGTGGAGCACGAGGCTCCAGCCATCCCCGGCGGGTGGCAGGGACACTTTGGCCGCACTGAAGGTGGACACCACAGCTCTCCTGGATGGGAATCTGTCCGCCTGCCCGACCCCGTGCTGCCTGCAGCCTGGGGAGATCTGGTTACGGAAAGGCGAGAAGTCCAGGCTCAGATGAGGGTTCTCTCTGATTTGCCCTGCAGTTGAGACCGTCCCTGCTTGGGCATGCTCAAGGGCCCAGATTAAGCTGGGAATGGAGCCCGGTTTTCTGAAATGTTGCCATCCTTTTTGCAAACCCTCCTTGTCCTGAGCTCACAGCCTGTGTGGCTCTGTCCTCCAGCATGTACTGGGAGCTCCGTGCCACGCTGGAGACCCCTTGGGTAGATGTGGCTGATGCCCCCCAGGTCTGGAGGGGGCACAGCAGGTCCAGGTCCAGGGCAGCCAGCTTCAGGTCCTGGCTCCTGCCTAGCAGAGTGCTGAGGTGGAAGAGATTGCCTTAGCCCGTCACTTTTGTTTTCCTTAGTTATTGTTTAAAATGCAGAGATTATGAGGTCAAACTTTCCCAGCCAATATTTTTCCTAATGAAAAATGTAGTAGGGTACGAGTCAGTGATCGAACCCATGCGTTGAATGTACCACACTACAGTGATTTCCACAGACAGAACTTCAATAAATCTTGTTTTCAGAGAAATTATATGAGGCTGATGCTCTATTTTTGCCAGTTTAAGATCACTTTTCCCCTCTGCTGTGCTCTGCCCAAGTGGAACTTTCCTCCAGCTGAGCTGAGCCTTTGCTACAGCAACGCGACAGACCCTCACGGCTGCGGTGTGAGCAGGCAGGGGGATGACGGCAGCCCCCCAAATCCCTTTGGGGTCACCCCACACAGTTGTGGGGTCCCTTTTCCAAAGATGCGCCTTCATGCCTGCAAACAGCCTGGAGATGCTGTTGGGTGTTGGAAACTCCTTGGACATCCTCTGCTTTGCAGTTTAGGAGGTTCCTCCAGTTTCCCAGCCCTGCTCGCTGATGCTCCCCTGATCCCAGCCTGCTCCCCGTATCGACTCCCCGATGCTGCGACAGCCCACATGTGATCCAGCCTGTCCCTGGGATCGATACGACATTTCCATTCGTCATTAAATATGTCGTCCTTACTTTGTGCTGCATAAATCAACCTTTCAGGCACGGCTCCCTGGGTGAAGAGCCGCTCTCGGAGACCACTGACCGAAGCAGGGGGCTTCAGGGAGTGCTTTGTGCTCGCCCCAGCGCTTAGGAAGGTACCAAAATCAGTGTCAAGGCTGTGATGGGCTTTGTAGCCAAAACCAGGCTGTTTGTAGCCAAAGCAAGCTGGCATGAGCAAACTGGCTGCAAATGCCCTGTGGACCCTCTGTGCCCCAAAGCGCTGTCAGTCCGTGGGGCTCTGGGTGCAGGAGAAAGCCGGCACCGGTGGTGCTGGGGTGAGCTGCCCCATCCTCCGGGGACAGAGCAGGAGCTGTGGTGGTGTCTGCCTCCCCAGGTAAGCCCAGTTTGTGCTGGGAAAGTGGCCTCACCTCCCCGTTAGCTGTGGCTTCTCCTCCAAACGCCAATGCCCAGCCCCAAGCCTGCCCACGCTGCAGTGATTCCCGTGGCGATAGGTGAGCACAGGACTGGGTTTGCTTCACAATGACAGTGGATGTGTAATGCCCATAGGATGCACTGGTGGAAAGGAGAATTCGATCTCTCTGCAACCAGCCACAGCCCTTGGCAGTGGTGTTTCCAGAGGGGAGTTTTCTGGCTGCCTCCCCCCGGCAGCACCCTCCGATCTCTCCCCAAAGTGCGGGCACTGACCCGTGCCCTCCCCACGGCTTTTTGTCAGCCGGCTCCCTTGTCCCCGCTGCACA